CATAAGAATTTTTGTGTTCAAAATATCCCAATCCAATTAACTAATAATTCTCTTTTACATGGACGTTTTTTATATTAGTAAAAACATTTGTTGGTCATATAATTTACACTTTGTATTATTGTTCCATTACAATTTTATTAAAAAAAAAAAAAAAAAGTACTACAAAATAATAAACCTGATACATAACAACATCCTATTCTCTTCAGTAATTACCTTAGAAACACATACACACATGAAAGTTAAATTCATTAAATATAGTTTGTATGTTTGTAGTTAAGCACAGAGCTACACAATGGGCTATCTGTGCAGATTCTAGCATTGTAAGTCCACTGACGTACTGCTGTGCCACTGGGGGGCTTAAATACAGTTATCCAATATAGATGAGCAAATATAAAATAAAAATAATTAAATTGGAATTTGTTAGGCTAACATCTTGAGTTTTTCCACAAATCAAGTTTGATAAACAAAAATAGCATACAAAGCTGAATGTAAAAAATTTGGAAGAATATTAAAAAAAGGAAAGATAAAAAAAAAGATAAATAAACTTTGGTATATTAGAAAATGAAGTGAAAAATATACCTAAACTTCAAAATATACACGAAAAAGAATTACCAGTGCATTAAAACATCTATACAGTTTTTCTTTAGTTTCAAAATTATTAAAAGAAAAATGTTGTAAAACAGAATAGTCAAACTGATTTAGAATCTGAAATGGTTAAAAAATGCATAATTTGCTTGCCTAAAAGCTTCAAATATAAGAACTGATCTACTCAGAGCTACAAGTTACTTCCCAGACAATTGGGAAAATGTGGCAAACTTAAGGATTAAAAGTGGTATCTACAGCCTTAGTGAGGGTATTTGTTTATTCACACTTAGGATATATGAACAAAATTTACACTGTACAAAAGTTCTCCTGCTGTGCTCCAATTCCCTTTTTTTACATTCTTTAATAACTAAATAAACTATTTTTAATGTCACTATGCCAAAAACCTTACATTTGTCCTGCCATGCTCCTTATCAGCTTAGTTAAAATCTTATCACCTGTTTAAATATCATTTGTGACATACATTAAGGTAAATATATAGAGATCTTCTTTCAGACTTTACTTGTTAGAGGGGTAACCAAAGTCACAAAATTTTGATAGCAACTATTGTCTTCTTCACAACTGCTTGGTACTGTAGATATCACAGTTTACAAATGTTATGATTGGACACCTGCAGAGTAAGTGGGTGGAGTGGATATAGTCATACAGTACCGAAAATAGTTAAAGTTGACTGTAGACTAATCACTAATGCAGGAGCCACATACCAGGTTCTGATAAAGCTTTTCAATAAAATCCTTTTTCACAGCCAGGGATACAAGTCTGAAAAATGCAAGCTTTATTTCTGAATTTGGAAAAATAATTTAAAGTTCACTAGTATAACATAATGAACTGAACAATATCCTGTATGGACAAATGAGTGTCATTTGGAATCTGCAATGAACATGTGCAGACTCAAGAAACTAACTCTCTTAATTTCTGCTTATATTTTCAAATTTTCAAAATTTAGGACATTCAGGTCATTGTCAAATAAACAATTATATACTTTGAACTTGAAGCTACTATAGTGTTTACTATAAATTGCATGAAGAATTCCCTACAAGGTTGAACAGTTCCATCTGATATACTAAATAATAGTTTAGTGGTAATAGTTTGTGAGATAGTAAATTAATTTTTTTTTTTTATGGTTATGGTTGTGTTTATTGTTCATTTATTATTTCCTTCTATCATTTAGTTACATTAAATGTCTAACTCTACCTTCCAGCTCATCATATGTAT